GAAAGCTTTTTCCGGACTCTAACTAATGGCATTGGTCTCATGCTCAAATTATTTTTAAAATAGAAATTGGACACCCTTTTCAGAACTTATACTATTATAACCAATTTCACAATCTCGGATGTTCAAAACATATACCAAGGACCATAAGTCACCAACAACCATATGACCACATACATATCATTAAAACCAACTCATGCAATGCACCATAATATAATGAATATTTTTAGATTAAATTTTCACTACTAAACCCCTTAACTCAAAATCATAGGAAGGGGGAGTTTACTATAATTTTTATTAAGATTTTCCAAATTATCACTTAATATTCACTACCCTTATTTGCTTTAGTATTTTAGCCCTATCATCATAACACATAATAATCAACTCTCTCCCTAGGGCTCAAAATACCATTACAATTTACATTTCACTTAATGCAAGTAAATAACAAAAAGGAAAATCCTAGTTGGCAATCGAAATTGTCATACACATAAATTATCTAAAATAAAGACGCCTATTATAAATGGATCGTGATCCTAAGCCTCGGGTTGTTTTTCTTTATCTCCACTTCTTGAGCTATTCCCTAAAATATTAAAGATAACAGGATAGGTACAACTACTCAGTAACTAAGGTCCGACTAGCCATACTAATGCATAACAATTAGTTGAAATGTAAGTGACAGTTAATATTAATACTTTTACCCATGAAAAACATTTAAAATTAAGAATTCACAACTTAACTCACATAATGGCATCCACTTGAAAAAATAATGCCTTTAGCATCTTTCATATAAATAGAATTGCTCACACAAATCATTGACAAGTGTAATGGCAAAAATTATTACTCAACTCAACATATCTATATTATGGATTCAACATAGACAACCAATGCCTTTTATCAATATATATGCATGATCATGCCTCTCTTATATCCTCCTTATTCCTCTGAAATGAAACCATGGGCTATAACTCAATGGGATCGTCTATGTTTCTTGACTTTCCTAACCTAAACACTTGTGAGGGGATTACCTGACCAAGGTATACCCATCTCACTTACGGATCACGGTTTCCCCCATTTCTCTCACCATGGGGTATCATATACCTTAGACTAACTTTCTCATTGAATCGGTGGATAGCTAACTAGGTTCGAGTCTCTCGTTAAACCAGTGGGACAGTCCTTCGTTTAACAAGTGGGACGATATGAATAGAATCAATTTAGGCAATCCATCACATGGATAGGGCCTTACCGTGTGGATTTATCATCTACTCCGCTTTCTAAGCGAACTCCCGCCTTTCTTGATCATGCAATGGACATTCATGCGATAATTTACACATATAAAATTCATAAAACTTCACATTACACAATTATTGGACTTCTTAACACATTTCATGGAACTTTAAAACTAAACAAGTTGTTGAACTCTCAATTCACAATCACTATACCTCATACTTTTAAAATCATTGAACTTTCCTATTTTCATTGTACCTCACACTTTTAAAATCATTAAACTTCCCTATTTTCAAGCATCATTGAACTTTTTCTAAACAAATATTCATTTTACTTCTCAATTTATAGAAATCATTACACTCCTAATAAATATTAATATGAAAATCCACCACTATTATTCTCAAGGTAAATTTTTACATTATAAGGCATAAAACTCACAAATTTGATCTAGTGAATTTCTTCACAAATTAAGCCACACTTGCATTTCTTTTATTTTATACATTTTAAATGATAATTCATAAATCAATAAACTAATTGTCACACACAAGCATAAGATAGAATTCCCCCCCGGTTACCTCAAACCTTTGAAAGGTTAATGGTTTCACCCCTCAACTATTAGATCCCGAAACTTTTAAGAAGCTTGAATGGTGTCAATGGTAATTACACTACAAGTATTTACCATACTATCTTTCACTAGCATTTCATCATTTCTTAATACTCAAGTTTTATTCTAAGCTTATGTAGAAGTACTCATAAGGTTTCTTAGCTTCCTATAACTCTCATTTAAAACATTGAGCTCTTAAATGGGTATTAATGAAGTCATATTATTCTTAACCACCAAATTTATGAAAATTTTGGACACTTAATGTCTTCCAACTACCAATCATCATAAAACTATAAATATCAAGTTTATTTAGTTCAATCTACCCCTATTGACTTTCTTTAAGTCAATGGCTTCGAGCTCTTAACTTCCAGGGACCGAAAGTCACCATTAACAATCAAACCTTAACCTTTACTATCAAGAAAATGAAAGAAGAGAGGAAGATTTAAGCAAGAAAGCTTACCTTAGATGTTTATGAGCTCCAAATCACTCCTAATAGTCAGTTTCTTCAAGCACTAGCTTAGCTTTTTTACCACTCTCTTTTTCTCTTTTGTTTCCTCTTCTTTTTCACTTTAGGTTCACAACTTATTACAGTAAAATTCTGATCATGTGCTGCGGTGCATGGTACAGAGAGCTTCTTCCAGGCATGTGAACCCATGCGCCGCGGCAGACTAATCCCACGCCACGGCATATGGCACAGAATCACTCGCTTCAGAAATTCTTCCTCTTTTATTCCTAAGTGACCCGATTCTCCTTCAAACCCTTGTTTAGTACTAAAATTGAGAACAAACACGCACGTTAGGCCTCTCTGGCCACACACCTTAATGATTCACTTTACTAATCTATTTAAGCTTAATTAATATGGATTTAAAATTGAGGATGTTACACTTGGACTCAATCATAAAGCTGAAATGACAACCTAAAACACCCATTAACTCTTTGTAACCACACACCATGTTAATTTACTTAATTAATCCTTATCTATTCAATTAATTAGGGGTTAAATTCTCTAGGATGTCATACATATCACATGTTTGGCACATATACATGACCACACAAGATATTCACCTAAATCACATTATTAATTTTTGAAATATAAATCAGTTAACAAGTAATCACGTAAAACAAATTTTTTCAATTACTTTAAACTTTTGAGAGGTCAGATGTTTATCCCTTAATATATAGTTCCAAGCTTGCTTTAAAGCCCATGATGGTGCATGAATAATTAATCTACAATTAATCATGTCAAATTCATCATTGTCTCTATTCACACGCTTCAAGCTTTTAAATTTTCAATACTTAAATAATCTAAAACCTTCATCTTTTATATTCAAGTTTGTACATTAAGTTTCTTATCATACATTAACCTCCACTAACTTTATTAAATTCTTCTAAGTTCATTAATGTCACCTAATAACCCTCATAACTCACATTTAATCACATATTTTCGAACATAAATGTCCACTCATCGCCATTAATTCACGAAACTCTTCATTAATGGTTTTAAAAACTCAAATAACTTTCATTAACTCTATTTAAGTTAATATGTTCGGACATATAATTTATATGGACTAAAAATTATCTCTCATTGACAAATCCTAATTTAAAACTTTAGAAAATGTGTTGGAAAAGGAGTAGAATAGGTTAGGAAACTTACCATTATGATTTAATAGCTTCAAAATGTCTCCAAACCTCCTGAAAATGAAGCCCTAACAGGGCTCTAAGTTTTCTCCTTCTCCTTTCTAGTTTCCTCTTTTCTTTTTCTCTATTTTTCACATCATTTTGCATCTTATTTTTGCAAAAAATAGGCTATGCGTCATGGTGCATAGTACTACAAAAGAACCTTTGAATTCCCTTATCCCTTTGAAGCCTAAGTGCCTCAAATTCTCTTCAGACTCCATCTTCAAGCTGCAACCACATGCCAATAAAGCTTGTTAGCCCTCTCCAACCATCCTCTAACTCTATTTAACTTAATTAAACTTGATTATTTTATCAATTTAACTAAAAATTAAAATTCAAGCTGTTACGATGTTTTATTCATGGTTTCTCCATTTGAAGATAATCAAGGGAATTGCAATGTCCTCTTCACCCAAGTACCTCCACAAGGGCATTGATATGGTGTAATGGGTCCTCGCTACAATTCCTGAGATATGAGAACAACGATAAGGAAATGAGAGAGGAAGGGTAAAAAATGAAAAAGTTAAAATCTCATTTTCACTATCAATTCCATTTTCATCCTCTTCAATTAAAATATACCAAATAGGTCTTTATATTTTTAAATGAAGGGAGCATATTTTATGACACCAATAACCTCTTTTGATTCCCTCCTCCTCCTCCTCCTCCTCCTCCTTTTTTGGGTTTGCATGTATAAAGGATAATTCATATACTTTAAATTTGAAATTTTCTAAACGCATTATAGATTGCTATTAGATTAAAGTTCAGACCTTTATTCACTATCAACTGATTAACCTCAATCACCACGTGATCCGGATATTGTTTCATTTCTTATAAAGTTAGAGCCAAATGACTGAATACTTATACACACATAAATAAATAACATGTTATTATCAATATAATGGACCAAGGGATTGAATTATATTTTTAGTTAAATAACACATTCCCACGACTATTTTTGTAGCTTGTTACAAGATAAATATTGATTGTATTTTTGGGGGGATGGCTTTTGTCCCGAGGGGTGAGGCAAATAGACATTTAAATTTTGGAACAAGGTGGCCTACTTTTTTCTCCTGGTTTTGTTCCAAGTCTTGTTCATTTTTGTTTTGTACTTTTGTTTCTTCATCCAGCTTTCTGTAGCTTAGTTTTTCCAAATAAAAAACTTGGAAAAACTAAGCGGCGCAATAACTGAGGCACAGGTACATCCTATTCTAAGTTGATCAGTGATCACCAAGATACCTCTTCTATCAGGAGTAATGATCATACCCAGTGTCAAACTTATTTCATTCTAGACATATAGATTGGACAACATATATGTATTGAGATAATAAAGAAACAGGAACAGATATACCCATAACTTCATGCTAAACGGACAATTTATTTTGCCCTCAGCGTCACAGTCTTACAGAGACTCAGGCATTTTTGTGTTGTTGGTTTATTCTGAGGAATATTGATACGTTTAAAAGGTGGTGCGGCAGACTAGTTTCTATTATCAGTTTGTCCATTAGGCCACGTGATCAAGGAAGGGACCACGATGCACCTCCTCCACGCACCAAGTTATCAACCAAATCCCTTTCCTTGGCAGGGGCAGGGACCCTATAATGCCAACTGGTATGACACTGGAGCCTTGTAAGGGAACCACATGGATTGGTGGCCCCCACTGGTAGTCCACCTAGTTGAATCCCAGCCATCCCCACTCTAATATGAATAGAGTTGTGTATGTCAGTGGAGGAGCAAATGGGTCTTCCCCGTCTTTCAAATGCTCACTCTTCAAGTATTTACCAAACTCCACAGGAAGCCTAGCCTTGGCTTCTTAAATCATCTTAATTGCTCCGATAATCGATGTCCATGTAAGCGACTCAAATGGAATAGTAATTGTCACAGGGAAGAAGCAATTCCCATAGAAGCCTTGAGGCAGAGGTGGCTTCAAGAGCTGACGGCAATTGGCAAAGAAGATTAATTTCACAAGGGTCTTTGGATCCAAGTTTATAGCTCTAGTTCGACTGATCCAAAGCCCTGCGACTACAACCTCAAAGGCAGAATAATTCTCTCCAGTTACTTCCTGAAACTCTCACTTAAGTCGGTGAACGTGATCTGTGGGTATGTCTAAATTATCATGTTCTAGCCTATACTGTAGAATTGGTGGTGGACCAGATGGCATTTTTGGCAATGCAGCCACAATTTCTTCGTTAGGTGTAAGTGGAAAGAAGTCCTTGTGCCATACTAGAGTTATGCTTGGTTTTTCAAGGCCATCACATACGCTATGGCAGAATATTAGGCCTATCACAAATCCCCCGCAACCAAATTGTGTCACCTGAAAAATATATCAATGTGCCAGACAAAATCATTTAATTAAAACTCTCATGCATGGATTTGAAGTCTAGAGCAGGGAGTTCCCAGTAATTTGATACCTGTATTTTGATGAGGGGGTCGATGCCTTCAATCTCAGTGTCAGGGATAGGATCGGAAAAAGATCATTATACGGGATAGATTGAACGTCATCGAAGTAATTGACAGAAGCAAGGGTACAAGGGGCCGATGCCTTAATGAACCACACTCTTTCGCCTGAGCATTCAATGCGAAGGGGACCATGTGAAGGCTGAGAGAGCCTTCCTACAAGAGGGTAGTACGGAACTAAAGCTTTGGACAAGGCATCTTTAATGACGGTGGACGCTTCAGGGCCATGTCTGAATACATGCAAGGTTCGAGCATTGCACCTTAGAACCGGTAATCTATTGATGACTGATAGGTCTAGTATGGTTGATGGTGCCTGCTCTGCTGGTTTCACAAAGTCACGTGTGGTTATGGTCACATGGAGAGCCATTGCAATTGTGAATGTTAGTGGAAGAGCTGATGAGGGAATGTTAGTGGGTCTTTTTCATAAAATGATGTGTGTATTTAATCAATGTTTTAGGCTTCTTGGCCTTTAAGTCTCAACTTGGGTGGTTGGGGTGAACATTGAGATAGCCCGCTAAGTATAGTGGTATACTTTAAACAATGCGTTTGCTTCTGTTTTGCTTCCTTCTTATCTCATAGATTGTCTTGTCCTTGTCCTATTAAATTATCTTGCAAGTATTGCTTAACATTCACTAAATTTGCAACGACTAACTAGAAATGCTGAGCCAGAAAAATAAATAAAGGCTTCTCATTCGCATCCTATAAGTTGCAACTATCGTAATTTAGACGAGAAAGCAAGAGAAAGTGTAAGAATTATGAGTACGATGTCTCTTGCATGTCGTGTTATGTGCTGTGTGTATAAACCAGGAATACTATACTAATGATGTTCATAAGACGAGAATACCATTTTGACAGCCGACTGGCTAAGCACTGTGACCCTGTTTTGTAGATGTGACTTTATTTTCTGAAAATATTAACATGCTTTGGAATCCAGGAGAAATTGTGGAGGATGTCTGGCATGAGTATGTTGATCTGCTAGATGACTAGGGAAGGGTAAACACGTTCATTATTAAGCTGGAGCCACTTATCAATATGCAGATACTTGTGGAAGAATAATTGAAGGACGTGTTATAGGTTTGTTTGATTTCGAAACCTATAATTAATATGTGTCCAAGATATACTCAGTAATTTCCATATATAATAGACAATGACAAGTACATTACTGTTGTATGGCCATGGGCTAGCTTCCGGGCCGGGCTTGGCACCTGACTGCTTTTGTTTGGTATATCCGATGCCTTCATAAGTGTGACCCAACCGGGAGTGGTTGGCGAGCGGAGAAACTCTTCTTTAATTTGTTATGTTGTTATTTTTAAAGTAAAAGTGAGAAATGTTAAACTTACATGTTTTGCTCGATAAAAAACATTATTCAGTTCAATACTTTTACATTTCAAAATAAAAAATCCTCTCTTAAAAAGATCCTTTGTAAGGCAGTGATTTTTAAGTCACTTTTAACTCACTTTTCATTTTCAATAAAAAAATATTAAAACTTAACTAGTTAAATTGTTCAAAAATTACAGCATTTAGTAACTAACTTCCAAGACTCGACAATGCTTTATTTTCCATTAATCTTGCCTTCTAGTTTTTAATAGGGAACAGACATTTATTGAATCAATGTAGAGTATTTTTTTAATATGCAGTCTTGCTTTCCATATCTGATAATGATTTTATGAGTATTATCTCCAAGGCAAATTAAATTTTAAAAGATATTCTTGTCCTTGATAATGATATAAAACAAAGCTAGATTACTTGATACTGTTTCAATTTTATTCACTATTCATTTATTATTGTTTGAATTTTGAGACAAAATTTATCATGATTATTCAAATAATGATAAATTAAAAAGTTACATACTTTCTTGAAATTTTTAAGGATATAGCTATTATTTTTAGTAAGTTAAGAGTTAGTTAAATTTCTCTTATATTAAAAATCTATAGAGAGAAGATGGCATTGAAAATTAACCAAATCAATGTTTGCAAGTTATGATAATTCACCACTGGGCTTTCCAAATCTTATATGTATGTGAGTAATTTTCAATTCATGGTCAATTTTTAATAGGAAGCACTAATCGTATGATAATTTCAAGACTCGTGGTACTCTTCCAGTATTTTTAAAAATATCTTGGGACCTACTTATTAGGGCTACACAAAGGACTGGACGGGACTGGACTTCAGCCCAACCCGGAGTCTGGTCCTTTTCATGAAAAGAACTGGGTTAGGTAACCCGTAATCCTGTCTAGTCCTGTGAAAACTCGAATATTAACAGGATCGAATTTGGTCCATAGGATTGGGAGACTGATCATGTTAATCCAATACTCACTTGGTCTTTTTTTTCTTTTTTTTCTCTATGATAAGCAATAATCCATTTCAACCTAATAAACTCAATTAAGATAATAAAAACACTTATAATCATAATAAATTCATAATTCATAATGATTTTTAACATCAAGAAAATAATATTTCAGTTACAGTCCAAACTCCAAATGATTTAAATATATAATTTCAATAAAAACACTCAATAAAGTTTAACACTACATTACATTTGTCATGTAATTATCTCCTTAGCTTTAACAAAAACAAACTTAACAAATCTTCAAATAATTATCTCCTTAGCATCAATAACACTTGAAGCATATGTAAAAAAAATCATATACACATATATAAAGTGATTGGTAAGTGTAAAAATGCAATATAAAAATTAAATTAAGAGACATAAAATTGAATATATTACCTGCAACATTAACCACATTATCAGTCTCTTGAAAATTGTCAACCTCATGAAACATGGAGACAAACTCTGAGAGAGATTGCCCTGCAACTAACCAATTTTGGGCACAAATGAGTGCTTCAATCCTCTCAAGAGATAAAGAACTCCTATAATCATCAACAACACGTCCTTCAGTGCTAAAAGCTGATTCAGAAGCAACTGTAGATACTAGTATAGCCAATACATCTCGTGCTATCAAGGAAAGCACTCTATATTTGGTAGAATTAACCTTCCACCATGTCAAGATATCAAAATCATCAACATCATCATCAATAGGGGTGTCCTCAGATGTACTAGCAAAAAGGTATCTATCTAACTTTGATTGGGTATCAACTGATGAGCTTTTTTGCTTCTGGGATGCTAACCATCTATGACCAGGGTCTTTTTTACCTTTACTTGCATTTGAAGTGTTGGTGTCAAGAGCACTTGGAGAGTTGATACTACCAGAACTACTTGTATCAAGACCAACTGTTACAGAGTATTCCTCAAATAGGCGATACAAAGTGTCTCTTGCCTTGTTCTTCATAGACATGTAAAGGTTAGGGGTAGTAAAAAGCTGATCAAATACATGATTGATATAAGTAAGCTTGTATCGAGGATCGAGAATCACAGTAATAATCAACAAAGGGTTCAAATTATCTGCTACGCCCCAATACTTATTATACTTACTCTTCATGCTCAAAGACATTTCTCTAAGAAGAGGGTCATCACTTTCAATATTCTCATCTAACAACTCTTGAATTAAAGCAATTTAATGGAAGCATGTATGTACAGTAACTTTTAGTGTGTTAGAAAATTACAAAGTGACGTCATAAAACACCTTTAAGAACTTAAGAAAGAACCGTGCTTTATTCCAAGCTTGTTTGTTTGGAGGGCCATTACGCTTAGGAGGAGCTTGCCTAAAGTAAGCAAAAGCATCCATGTTGTCATCAGGAGCACCTTGCCTATAAACATAGGCATCCATGCTACCTTCTAAACAAGAAAAGTCACTCTGAGCATGACGCTTTGAACCTTTATTAAAGTAACTAACAAAATCTTCATCCTCATCCTCTAATCTTTCAAATGCCTTTTGAAACTTCAAAGCCACATCCAACATTAGATATGTAGAATTCCATCTAGTACTGACATCAAGGCAAACAATACTTTTGGTGTCCAACATTTCCAATTCACAAACATCTTTAAATCTTTACAAGCGAGTAGGAGAGGAACGAACATATCTAATAGCATTTCGAATAGACTCAAAAGTATCTTTCAACTCCTTCAACCCGTCATTAACAACTATATTAAGAATATGTGCAGAACACCGTAGTTAAAGATAATCACCACCACAAACAAGACCCCTCCAATTCTTTAGACGCCTTTTCAAGTAAGACAAGGTTGTGTCATTAGAAGTTACATTATCCATAGTTATGGTGAACACATTTTGTATGTCCCAATTTAATAAGCACCTTTCAATTGTCTTGCCTATCGTATCACCCTTGTGATTCTCAACCATGCAAAAACTAAGAATCTTCTTATGTAAGCTCTAATCATTATCAATGAAATGGGCTATCAAACATAAGTAATTAAAGTTTTGAACTGATGTCCAGCAATTTATAGTGAGGCAAAGACGATTAGTACACTTCTTCAATAAATTTTTCAAGATTCTAATTTCACCAAGATACAATTGCCAGGCATCTCTAGCCACTGCTGTTCTTAAATGGATTTGAAATCGTGGTTCTAACTCCTTCACAAACTTTTTAAAGCCTTCCTTCTCAACAAGCCTAAATGGCATCTCATCACATATGATGAACTCAACTAGAGCCCTGCGACATCCTTTTTGATTGAACGTGTGAGGTACTAAGCTTCCCTCTTGCCCACTTTGTGTCACATAATTCAACATCAATTGCTTTGTCATTTGTGTAGCTTTATGTGGATTCTTAGGACACTTTGGTATATGCCTCTTTAAGGATGTTGAACCATGCTTGCCTGGGTCATAACCATAATCTAAATTACAGTGCTTGCATGCAGCTCTAACTTCTTCATTTGTCTCCTCCAATGGTAACTGAGTAAAGTGTTCCCATACTTTTGACACCTTTCTTGCAGAATTTTTTCTCTTTCTACTACCTTCTATAGCTTCACTTTTAGTTATAGTTATAAGAGAAAGAGGACATTCCATAGTAGTTGGAGGTTGAGGAGGAGGAGTAGGTGTCAAAGATGGTTTAGAAGGAGTTGAACTCACATTTTCACCAGTGAAAGGAGACGATTGAGGTTGGTCAATGCTGGATATTTACTCAATATCCATCACTTCATAATGATAAAATATAATTGACAAGTTATAATAGCAAAATGATAAAAAGGAAGCAAAATGGACAAGTTATAATAACACAAAATCGTGTTAGAGAACACAAAAGCCAGAAAATGAAAGCACATAATTGATAAGGTGATTACTAATAAAAATCATCCCACAGGAATGTCCTTCTAACAGAGCAACACAGACATGGGGAAAAAACTTTAAACAACTTCTAAGGTAAGTCAATCCAAATCTGTGTAACAAATTTTAATCCATATTAAACAACTTCTAAGGCAAGTCAATCCAAATCTATGTAAAAAATTTCAACAAATTTTGGATCGTGCAGAGTGATGAGGCAAAGTCAGGGAAAAAAACACATCTACTTCAATGGTTTTTCACAGATTCGATAATGAGGCAGAGTCAAGTAAAAAAACAAGGGAAAAAAGAACAAGAATATGCCAGACTTGGGTCAGTACAAGAATATGCCATACTTGGGAGAAAACTTACCTGGCGATTGCTTGCTCGAATGTGTGAGAACGACGGTGAATTAGAGGTTAGGGGTAATGGAGAGCAGGGTCGGGTGATGGTGTGGCATGCTCGACGGTGAATCAGATGCAAGAGGTGATGCTAATAATAGACAGATCGATGATGGTGGTGTACTGGCAGAGCAGCAGTGGGCAGGAGAATGGGTCGAGCGAGAATGAAGAAGAAAGAGCAATGAATCAGAGATCAAGGCTCGAGCAAGAATGAAGCGAGAAGAGCAAGGGCAGGCGACGTGATTGACGGTAGTCGGAGGTAGCGCACGAGAGAAGGCAGGGGCTAGGGCTTCGGCGCCTACGTGCGTATATGGATTGGGACTTGAGTAGCTGCGCCTATGTGCTGAAGCCTGAAGTGAAGATGTCAAGATGGTTAGCTGGATATATGATGTGGTAATATGACTTTTTTTATTTGATGTGTAAATGCAAAACTTATTAATTAATGATTTATAAATTATTTTTAATTATATTAAAATAATTATATAGGACCAGACCGGATCACTTAGTCCAGATGCTTGGTCTCTTGTCTAGTCTTACCTGAAAAATCAATCCTATTTTTTTGTCTTTTTAGTCCCATAAGACCAACATTTTATAGGACTAGACTGGATTGAGTTTTCATGGGTTAGATCGAGTTGGACCAGATTACGAGACTTTTGCATAACCCTACTACTTACAATCAAATTGGTAATTTTAGGAGCTAGCTAACTATAATCAACCCCTAAAACTTAGGGGTTAGAGGCCTCTAATGTACCTTTCTCTAATGCCCCTTGTAATGCTCCAATGTCTCAATTTTGTTTTTTATTTTTCTTTAAATCATTGACTTCTACATAAAATAAGAGACATTTGGATATCTTGATGTTCCAAAATGATAAAGATTTCTATTTTTTATGATTTTTAAAAAATAAAAGGGTGTATTTGTGATATTTTTCTTTAAAAATCATAAAAAATACAAATTTTTACTATTTTAGGGCATCAAGATATTCAAATATCTCTTATTTTATTTAGAAACAAATGATTTAGAGAAAAATAAAAAATAAAATTGAAAAGTTGGGATATTACAACGAGCATTAGAGAAGGGCATATTAAAGGCTCCTAACCCAAAACTTAGAGCCTGTTTAGTTTATGTTTTTATTTTTTATTTTTAAAAATTATTTTGTAATATATTTTTTAGAATTTTTTTAAAACAAAGCAAAATGAAAATTTGTTTGATCATATTAATTTAAAAATAATTTTAAAATTGGTAGTGATGATTATAAGCTATTGATGGTGATGATTTATCATAAAAAATGATCATGGTAACTATAATTTTTAATAATCAAACGTAATATATTTTAAAAAAAGAGAGAGAGAGAAAACAACTTGAGATTGTTTCTATTTTTTTCATTTTAAAAAAAGAAAAAAATAAGAATAAGTTTTGAAAAAATTAAGTCAAAAACAAATATCCAAACAAATTTTTTAATTTTTGATTTTTCAAAATAAAAAAACATTTTTTTAAAAATTGAAAACAAATAGCTTCTTATATGCCAATTCCCCCCAATCTTGACATTCAAATCTCTAATCAAATAATACACATTGGTGGTCCTATTAGCCCAACTGCGCGTGCACTCCTCTTGTAACAAATCGAATGTGCGTCCAAGTTTTATGGTAGGAAATTTTGTGGTGAATGCTTTCCTTCTTTCTTTCTTTTTTTCATGGAAAAAAAGTGCAAATACAGATGAGTGGGTCAATATTATAAGCAATTGTCCCCAGAAAAAAAAAAAAAACATGTGTGAATCGTTAATTTAACCATAACTGTTGTTTCCTTTCTTTTTTCAAAGAATCTATATCCTTCTCAAAAATTAACTTGATGTGAACAAGCCTTTTAAAAGGCTAAAATGAAAATAAAATTCTAACTGCGATTAAAATTTTTAAAAGTGGTGGATCATAAGAGATAAGTGTACATTTTTGCTCTTAAAATACTATCTAAGAAGCATTCAATAACCTAAATCATTTGTTAGAACGTTTTCACCTCTCAAGTAATGAAATCAAAGCATCATAAAAATATTTGTCAAGTCAAAATTTAGTCCAAGTCATCTTTTTCAATGGACGTTTGTGGGGATTTGACGAGGAGGTAGAGAATAATTTGATTTAATTACTTTAGAGACGAAAATGCTTCAATAAATATTTTTGAGTAATTCATGCTTCTCAAAGAATATTTCACAAACAAAAATATATTTTACCCATATACAAAATCAAGATAAAAAACATGACAGCAATTTTTCTAAAAAAGATAGGAAAAATAAAAAGCAAATGCTAGTAACTAATTATGTGTTCGATTTTCAGTTTACATATAATAAAAATTCATTTGAAAGATCTAATTATTTGTTGGATTTGATAAAAGTACATTTTAAATATGATTTGAATGTACTTTTGAGGATTATTTAAATGAATTCTAAGTAAAGTAATCGGCCTTATAATAACAATTCCTAAAAATTAAGCCATATCTTTGAAAATAAAAGGAACCTAAAAAAATATAGTAGTGGACAAGTTCAATAATCCACCAAACTGCCTGATTATATTATCAATATAAAACAATATCACTTTTAATTTATGAGGCATTTTTAAATAAAATTACATATATTAAATACAATAACAACAACAAGCCTTATCTCATTAAGTGGGATCAACTACATAGATTATATGACATCATTGTGCTCTATTATTTATTAAGTTTTTAGGAATATTGTTAATTAAAAGGTCTTACTCAATAATATCCAAAAATATTCTCTTCGATCTTTCTCTACTCTTCTTGACAGGGCTTAAAGTCATCTATTTTACTTTTCTTACAAGTGCCTCTCGTAATCTTCTTTGTACACGTCCAAACCACCTCAAATGATTTTTTATGCCACACCTACTTTTTTTCGTATTCACTCATTTGAAATTTTATTTTTACGTGTATATTTACACATCTATCTCAACATTTTTTATCTCTGCTACTTCAATTTTATACTCCTGCTGTCTCATCAAAGCTCAACATTCACTATCATATAAAATTATTGGTCTTATTCCTCTAGCTTTTCTCCAATTAAACCTTCCTTCTTGTATCATGTGTAAAATATCTCCGTTAATGTCCTCATTTTGTTGAATAATCGCTCCCAAATATTTAAACTCTTCCACTTGAGGTATGGTCTGATCACCCAATTTTACTTCAAAATCATTACTCACAAACCCCTTATCAAAATTATAATATAAATATTTTATTTTACTCCCACTCAAGTGAAAACCTTTTGACTTTAATGTCTTCCTCCATAGCTCAAGTTTATAATTTATTTCTTCTCTTGTATTTGCAATAAGAATTATATCATCTACAAAAAGCATGCATTTATGAATTTTTTCTTGAATATGCTCAGTCAAAAAATTTAAAACTAAATTAAATAAATAAGAATTCAAAGATGATACTTGATGCAATCCAATCTTTACACAAAAATCTTTTATTTCACCATCAAGCATTCTTGTACTAGTTGTTGCCCTCTCATATATGTCTTGTATAGCCTGAATATAGACAACTTGGACACCATTCTTTTTTAAAGCCTTCCAAAGTACTTCTCTTGATATCGATTATAAGTTTTTTTCAAATCAATGAAAATTATATGTAAATTTTTGCTTTTACATTGATACTTTTTCATTAATTATATACACAATATTAAATATTAATAAAGTGTATTAAATATAGTATATAGTCTTAATTTTTTTATAAATTTTTAAAAATATTCTCATTAACAAGAGAGAGGGGAAAAGAAATTTGAAGAGTGAAGTAATAAAGAATAATATTAAAATAATCATTACAAATAAAATGTTATGTTTACCAAAACATTTTATATTTTTAAACACCAAATCATTTTAAAAACATCTTATAAATTAGGTTAGAAAGTAGTAATGTATTATTTTCATATCAAATTATAAGATATTTTAAAAAAATTTGACATCCCAAAATATAAGACATTCTAAGAAGATTAAAATTTTATTAAATAAGTTGATTTCAATATTACTCTTTAATTTTATATATTTAATTTCAACCTTTATTTTTTTTAATATATTAAATAAAGGATGTTTTTAAAAAATTTATATTTATATTTTTAAAAAATAAAATTATTAAATATATTTAATAAAATGGATTGATATGTAATATTTTTTTTAAAAAAATGTTTTATCATTATTTTTAATTTCATGAGGAGAATGCGGAAGGGACGGGAAGTTGGGTCGCCCAGGCCGCTCTCCCGAGATCAAACTGAATCAGAACGCACAGCACAGCCTCCAATCCTTCATCCTCGGTGAGAAAAAGAAACAAGCCTCAACTTTCCACGTACAAAATAATATTTTTGTCAGACAAAATAATAATATTTTTATTTTTTATTCCACAAGCAATCTCTTTCAGTCCTACCTGGCGCGGGTCCTCCTCCCTACCCCATTCGAAGCCTCTATTTCTCACTCCACGCGGATCGCGGAGTTTTGTAGCAAATAAATTACTCTCAAGTTTCCGCTTTACGCCGCAACAATCTCATCTCGTCCACTCACACAATTCCCCAAATTTTTTATGCCGTTTTTTCTTTTCTCACATGGAAGATGAATCTTTTCTTTCATGGCAAACAAGGACCCAATTTGAACCCATCATCGAGCATCGAGTTTCTGATTTATCCTTCCCCAGCTCTCGTTCCTTCAACGAATTTATCACTTTACAGGAAGCCCCGCGAGACCCACAACCCTCATCTCAATTATTGACTCCGAATGCTCCCAAGAAGAAACTTACTCGCTGCAAGACTGCTCCTGCCATGGTTGTTTTGCAAGACCTCAGACACAAAACGCCCGATGTTCCCAAACCACAGTCTAGCTCCATCATCAGGCAAGGCATTTGCTTACTCATGATATATCTTTCGATTGGGGTTGTCATATACTCCTTCAATCGGGACCATTTTTCCGGCGTAGAGACTCACCCTGTAGTTGATGCACTTTACTTTTGTATAGTCACCATGTGCACAATCGGTTACGGGGATATTACACCGACAAGCCCAGTAACTAAGGTCTTTGCATGTGTCTTTGTATTGGTAGGGTTTGGATTCATTGACATATTGCTTAGCGGGCTTGTTAATTACGTCCTAGATTTGCAAGAGAATACGATTCTAACTGGGCTTGTAATGGGGGCTCAAAGATCTCAAGAAGGATTCTCTGCAAGAAATTACATAGTTGATGTGGCAAAGGGGCGGATGAGAATCAGATTGAAGGTTGGTTTGGCATTGGGTGTGGTGGTGCTGTGTATTGGAATAGGGAGTCTGGTTTTGTACTTTGTGGAGGATTTGAATTGGATTGATTCAATTTACTTATCGGTTATGTCTGTAACAACAGTAGGGTATGGGGATAGAGCCTTCAAGACCCTCCCTGGGAGGCTCTTTGCTGCCATTTGGCTCCTTGTTTCCACACTCATGGTGGCCCGGGCCTTCCTGTATTTGGCAGAGGCCAGAATTGATAGAAGGCACCGGAGAATAGCTAAGTCGGTGTTGCATAGAGACATGACTGTTGAAGATTTGCTGGCTGCTGCTATCAATAACACCGGTTTCATCAGGTAACTTGTTTTCCCCTTTTTCTAGGTGCAATTTTTTTAAAATTTTGTTCCATCACTATGGCTGCGTTGTAAATTTACTCCCACCTTATAAATAACACTTAAACTGCTGAGTGGAGTCAGAGGACCTACAGGGCTACTTTCTGATGACAGAATTAATGCTAATATTGACACTGACCCAGGCTGTATTGTATGCAACATGATTTGTAGTAGCAACCTCAGGGTCCAGGACCCTAAGCTGAAAATAGTAACTGATGTCATCCTGCGTACAATCCTAGGAGTTGTATGTCATGAATAAGATTTCTAACTTCACTACATGATCCTAAGAATAAGATTAAGCATCGCAATCACCTTTTCTTGTTAGTGTTTATACAGGGTATATAGTTGTCTGTTGCCGCCTCTCATGTTACGATGCCTATGCTTTTGTTTTCAGATATTCGGAACCAGAGTTTATGACAGAGAATTTGAATCATATTAGTTTAGCATGGTTTACGACTTAGTCGTTGATGTATCTTTTAGTGTTATTCCTATTTACTGAATACAAATTGTTATTGTTACAAGTACCCATTCATTGTTGAGTTCTTCAATACAAGAGTCTATAGTCTATGAAAAAGAATGAGTTGCATTAGTTCAGCGTGGGGGAAAATGGTATAACTAATGGATGTTATTATTAGTTCAGCGTGAGGGAAAATGGTATAACTAATGGATGTTATTGTCATTTCAAATGATCAACTATTACTTTATTTTGGCGAGAGATTCCTTTCTTACCTGGAATTTCCATTCCATTTGCTATGATCCAGTAAGTCAGAGTATGTAGTATTCAAGCTCAAAGAGATGGGGAAGATAGGGGAAAAAGATATATTGCAAATCTGTGACCAATTCAGCAAGCTTGATTCCACTAACTCTGGGAAGATAACGCTACCTCATCTCTTGGAGGGCCGGTCATGACAGAGTTGGAGAGACCAATGAATAGTTTATTATGTGTTCGCTACATTTCACTGGCCAAGAGCAGAGGCTGAAACCCCGGAAAATCCTCTCTGCAAAAATTTGGCAGATGTAGGTGATTTGTTTTGGGGGCTTCCATATCTTGGAGGAGATGCAAATGATTGAATCATTTGGAGCGAACTTTTGTACAGGAACTCTACAATTCATATAGAGAGTACGAAATTTACAACTGCCTAATCTTTCCCTCTATTCTCCCCCTCCAAGTATATATATATATATATATAAGAACACAAATATAGTATTAGTCAGTCCTAAGAGAAAGAACTCAAATATACAATTGCTTTTCCTTTCCTTCTATTATAGGTAGTTCTTTGTTTGCGCAGAACTGGAGATTTTACTTTAACGCTACCATACGAGCATTCCTCTACCCACATTGTTTTTTAAGAGCAGCGAATTAAAGGCGCCAATATTGAAGCAAAATTGAAAAGTAACAAGCTTTTTATTAAAAAAAGGGGGGGGGGATATATATACAGTTTGAAAGGTAAAATAGTGCGAATAAATGTAGATATGCAAGAGTTTCTGGTTGACTCACTTCTCACCTGATCCCTTTCAAAATTATTTTGCTTGAACCATCGTTAGAAGGCGAAATTTTTGGGGAACGTAAGATTAGATACATGTATGCTTATATTGAAACCACTGGTCTTGAGGGAGAACCACACTAGTCCATCTTTGCGAGCACAGCCAAACAAAAATTGGAGTACTGGCACATCATAACCTCAGGAATTTCAATCCCACATTGTGTGATTTCCTGATGATGTACTTGGTTTAGCCCCTTTCTTTATTTTGGAAAAAAAAAACCCTTTTTTCTGATCGTCTCATTGGACGTGCCTGGACTTCTACAAGGAAAAGATCATTACGAATTATGACCAATCTCATCCGGTGCAATATAGTCATCATTAATGTTCTATGGTCATTAATTCCCTCGAGTGGAGTTGAAATGTTGCATTCTAGGACACAAGCTATTCTTAATATAATTCGGCTTTGGTTCCTTTCTTTCCAACTCCAAGGCCCGTTGTTAGCCAGTCATAGCGCAACTCCGAAAATAAAAACTCACCTAATGAAGTTTTTCTTCTCTTCTCTTCTCTTCTCTTCTTTTTTCTGGGTCATGGCCGCGGACCCGGAGTTGCTAAATAGAGGAAGAAAACCTACCTGCTTTGGGGGAGGAAAATTGAAGTAGCTTGCGTCTAATGATTCTTTTCTACATCGATGCGTTTGACGTTACCATGGAAAATAAAAACTGATGTGACCATCAGGCATAGCTAAAAGAGGGATAAATGGCCAAATACTCGATAGAATTTGACTGCGAATCATTTCAGTCCTCCTTTTGTAAGAAATATTACGTTCTAAAATCAAAAACCACTCGTTCACTGTTACTAAATAAGCCACGTGAAGATAAGATGGGACCACTTAGAACGACTATTGAGAAAAAATTTCCATGTGTTAGCTTTTATAAAGGAGAGCATCTGTTGTGCTCTGTTTGCATCTGAGGCAGGGTGTCGACGGAAACAACGATAGAGATCCAGTTGAGTACGCTGTGTGTGTTGGTGAGTGTGCTTGTGTCGAAGATCTCCGTTGTAGTCACAGAGAACTATGCGTCGGCAGTGGGTGACCCTGGAATACAGAGAGAGGGACTAAGGGTTGCATTTGAAGCTTGGAACTTTTGCAATGAAGTTGGAGAAGAAGCCCCTCACATGGGCAACCCGAGAGCTGCTGACTGTTTCAATCTTTCAAGTTCAAGTAAGCCAAACAATAACTAACATAATTTCATTCATTAGCATAGTCCTTTTGATTTGATTGAAATGCACAGGTTCACTGAATCACAAGGTCACGGAAGTTGATAACAGACTTGGGGCAGGGAAACCATTTCGTGGTGTGGGAGGAGATATAAACAACCCAGACCTCTACGCAGTGAAAAAGGAACTTTATCTAGGCTCTATCTGTGAAGTCGCAGATACCCAAAGACCATGGCACTTCTGGATGATTATGTTGAATAATGGCAACTACGACACAGAGTCAGGTTTATGTCCTGAGAATGGGAAGAAGGTAGCCCCTTCAAGGCCTGGACGGTTTCCCTGCTTGGGAAAAGGGTGTATGAACCAGCCCATCACGTGTCATCAACAGACACAGCTCCAACATGGTATCATGCGAGGAGGTTTCAATGGTACTTCTGATTTGAATTTTAGTTGCGGAGGAGGACACAGTGGCCTTTCTTACTACGAGGCAGTCTGGGAAAAGAAAGTGAATGTTGGGAGCTGGGTTTTCAAGCATAAGCTCCAGACCTCAGAGAACATCCATGGTTGATGCTGTACCTGAGAGCTGACGCGACCAGAGGATTCTCTGGAGGCTACCATTATGACACAAGGGAAATGTTCAAAACCGTAAGTGGAGACTCCTTTTTATTGAACTTTGCCTTGAGAATCCACTTTATTAATTACTCATTCGAACTTACTCATGATTCAGCCTCCAGAGTCACCCAATTTTAAGGTGAGGGTGAGGTTAGACATCAAAAAGGGGGGAGGAGCCAAGAGCCAATTCTACCTGGTAGACATAGGAAGCTGCTGGAAGAACAATGGAGCTGCTTGTGATGGAGATGTGGTCACTGATGTTACTAGATACAGCGAGATGATCATAAACCCCGAAACTCCAGCTACATGTTGCCCCAAAAGGTTAAAGAGTTGCCCACCATTTCACATAACACGAGACAACAGAAAGATCTATAGAAATGACACGGCCAATTTCCCATACTCGGCTCATCACTATTATTGTGCTCCAGGTAATGCCGTACATTTGGAGTTACCTATGAGTATTTGTGATCCTTACAGCAACCCTCAGGCACAAGAGATGGTTCAGTTACTGTCTCACTCAGTTTGGGCTGATTATCGGTATCCAGCCAAAAAAGGGGATGGCTGGGTTGGGGATGCAAGAACGTGGGAGCTTGATGTTGGTAGATTATCCAGTAAACTCTACTTCTATCAGGTCTATAACGGGATTTCTAATTACTGTATTCCCATGATAGGTTTGTGTGTTTTGATGTGTATTTTGGTGGTACAGGACCCTGGCTCTCCTCCTGCTAAAAGGGTATGGACTTCTATTGACATGGGTACTGAGATTTATGTTAGTGAAAAAGATGAAGTAGCAGAATGGATTCTCAGCGACTTTGACGTCCTTCTCAAGCAGCCAAATTCAAGAATGGAACTTTGAGCTTTCAGCTTCTACAATAAGATAAACAATGCATGCAGAGTTTGCTAGGGCGAGGAAAAGAAGTTTTACTTGTCAAAAGCGGATCATGGAAATGGGATCCAGGGGAGTGAGGAATGAAAATGCGCCTTTTCCGAGGACGTGCTTTATGGTCATTTTCCTTGGCCTTATTTATAAATGAACAATTAATTATTCTCAGCCAAAATACCTTTGCTAGAAACTGGAATCCTTGCTGTTACTTCTCCAAGTTATTCTCAGAACTAGTCTTTCTTAGGGATCAGAGCCATGCTTCCATTTTGCATTGCTTGCAGATCTTTCTTTTTTTTTTTTATTTCATTTTTATGGATCCGCTGGCAATAATAGCAGAGTGATTGCTGGGTTCCAAAACCAATTTCCTGTTAGGTCTATCTGTGAGGAATGAAAAGTGTATTCGGTGGGCTTCTGTTTTTCCTAGAATTGCGAACATCGGCTTCATGACAGTAAGGAAAGTGTGTATTCATTTGAAATCTCAGATTGATTTGATTTCTCTATCCATCTGAGAATATCCATATATAAACAAATAGAAAATATTGAATTAAAATATGAAAATACAAACAAATAAATTAATTAATGAATGAAAATGAGTAAACAAAAGCTTACAATTGTAGGTGCAACACTAGTAGCAGTTCTACCTTGTGGCGACTACAATCTCTCTTCCCCACGAGGGGGAGGGGACCCACAAGAAGAAAAGTAACTAACTAGCCAGACAAAGAATTTGTTATTTGCATCATAAGAAACAAGGTTGGAACAGGCGTACGTCTAAGCTTTGGTGAAGCTAGGATCAAAAGGAACACCGGTGGCAGCCAACCATGGCTGACCCAAACCTTCAAGGTATTGGGTGGCAGTGTAGACGGCAGCTTGATCCTTTGTAAGCTGGCCTCGACCCCACTTGACCCTGGTGGCAGGACTAAAGCCAGGTCCAGTATTGGCATACTCAGCAAAGTAACAGGTTGACAAGTACAAATCGCCTTGCCAAGGAAGATAGCCATCCGGGTGAATAATAGGACCCAGAGTGCTCTCCATGAAGATGGCCCTAGAATACGCCTTCCATGGCCTAGCCAAATAGCAAGGATTGGCAACCTTGTCGAGCCCAGGCTCTGCGTTGATATCGCTGTTCTGAATCACCACTCCAGTCCCTGCCTTAGGGTTGATGGAACCGTCTGCCACCACTATGTCCTGCTGGTTCTCCATCGGCTTCCTCAAAATGATCTTTGATTTCTGTATCAGAGTCCTCGACGCGCCAAAAATGAAGTCGATGGTGCCTGTAATTTCACACTCGCGGAACAACTGAATCCCCGCCTGCACGTACAAGGTGTCTTGGAAACCTCGGAATGCGCACTGGTAAAAAGCCGCGTGTGCTGCTTGCGTGCGCAGCGCCACTGCTTGATGTCCTACAGACCCAGCCGTGTTCTCGAATCCTATTCCCTTGGCGATGAACATGTCTCCAGCAATAGCTGCATGCGCGCGCATATAGAGACATACATGGATATACAATTTAATTAATCTATCCACCAGTTCCTCTCTCACTCATTATGTATATAAAATAACAACTTACCAAAGGTGGCGCTGTTGAAGGTCTTGTACTCCTTCTTGGGCTCGACGCATCTGTTTCCAGTGACGATGGTTTTTGTAGCGCCATCTCCGTAGATGTAAACGTTCGGCTTTTTCTTGTCAACAAGAGGGTACTCGTTATAAGTTCCAGCTTTGACGTAGATAATGTATCTGCCTTGATGGTTCTTTGGGTATGAATTGAGAGCGTCGGTGATGGATTTATATTGACCGCTGCCATCTTGCGCAACCACCGCGTTGGGTTGAGGTGGAGGGTTGGCTCCCAAGAGCTTGCGATCTGCTTGGGGCAACCAGCTGGGATCTTCGTCTTCCAGGAGACGACGAGAAGGAGCCTTCACTGTCAAATCCAAGTTGAATGCAGAAAGCAGATGGTTTAGGCCGGCGAGAACATCGAGTGCCACTCCGGTAAGCTTCTGTATGTCGTCCAGGCCACCTTCTGTGTGCAGTGTATCTCTTACCTGCTTCTCGCCTCCGCCTGCCTCGAACCCGTCGTAGCATGATTGTTGGAAGGATAACACCATGGCCAACCAATTCTTGATGTCATCGGTCCTATTCTCAATGGTTCTAATGTCATCGCCTTTGAGCATAGCGTTCGAGGCCTCGAGTGAATCAATGGCTGACTGCAACAGGTCCTGGCAATCGTCAATGGCCATCTTAACGCCTTTGTCGCCGGAGCCATGTTCGACGGCGAGCTTGTCGCTCATGTTAGCGGCACCTATCACCTTTTGCATCACTTTCGCCACTGCCGTGGTGATGTAATCTTTTGGGTCCGTGGAATTGACGGTCCCAAGAGTATCTTCGCAATCCTTCTTGTTGTCTGAGCCTTGGCATATCGCCGTCACGGCCTTGTTCTGGGAGCTCAACCCAGTATCACTGCTACCACTACCACTACTGCCACTTTGTCGGACGACAAGAATAGTCCCGACAGCACAACCTACGACCAGGATGAGTGCAACCCCGGGCAGGAATATCTTATTCATTTTTCTTTCTTTATTTTGGTTTTTCTATTTTTTTTCTTATTACGTTTTCCTCCGACGTCTACGACGCGAGTTGTCGAAGCCTGTTTTTTCTTGGCCACTTTTAGTAATCGATGCCTATCGGAGAAAAAAAATTGATAAAAAATGACTGTTAGTTTATTAATTTTGAGATGAGAGACGAGAGAATCGATTGACCGCGCATGCACTTTCTGCTTTTTATACATTGGTCAAGTTTCTAAAATAGGATAGTTTGACATTTTCCATCAGATCTTGATTTGTGGTTGTAAGTCTCCAGCTAAAGCTTTTCGCCGTTTGAAGTCAAATTTACTAATCTGATCTCTATTGGAATGTTTAAAATAACAAATAGAGGTGCTCTCCACGAATTTCCATTTCAAACCCATTTCATTGAACTTTTTCTTTTCAGGTGCTTGTCAATTAATTTGACACATTTTAGGACCGGGCATTATATAAAGGATAGTCAACACTTAAAAAAATAATAATCATTAGTCCCTATAATTTTTATCAAATTTTATGTTTAGTCCTTATAATTTTTTTAATTGATCCCTATAATTTTATTAAATTTTACTTTTAATTCTTATATTTTTTTAATGTTTTGACTCCTCATAGGGACTAAAACATTGAAACTATAGAAGTTTGAATGTTAAATATCATCTAATATTTTAATGTTATAGAGATTAAAAATACTGAGAAAAAATTTATAAGAATTAAAAGCAAAATTTGATAGTGCTACGGGGATTGATGATTATATTTTTTCCTTTTTTTAATCATTACATTTGTTCATCTGAAATGTTGACGGCAATATAATTTAGACATCATGTGTCGCCCTAATCATGTATTAGATTCTCGCAAATGTAACTTTCAAGTCATTAATTTGCGTGTGGGCAACACTAATTTATTTGGGCAACAGGGCCTTATAATGGCTATTTTTCTAGAGGGAAAAAAACTAAACATAGTCATAGGGGTGTGGAATATACGATCTCAATTCTAAACGGTCATGCATTAATTTTTATTTAGAAACTATACTGGATCCCAGTGCAATGCAGGTTTGATTTTGAAAAATTGTAAAAAAAAAAAATAGATTACAGCATTTACAAAATTTCAATTCAAGTAATAATAGTATTTTTTTTAAGACTAAATGAGGTTTTTTTTTTTGGTAATCAGACTAAATGAGTTTTGTTTAGAGATATATTCAATTTCAAGAGTGGATATAAAAATATACGACTTAAATCATCATCTAGATCATCCATAAGAAAGTTTTCTTATTCAACATGCCAAAGATTTTTTTTTTTTGACAACATTTTAAATTTAAGGAAAAAAATAAGTAAACAATTTTGTTGACCTTGCAGGGGTTTCACAAGATTCAAGAATTTCAACTTTTTTTCTCTTCTGGCCAGCGAGGATTTCAACTTAATTATTTGCTTCAAATTTGACTAAACATTTATTTCATCTTCGTATGTAACTATTAGCTAGGAATTGAGGAGTATGATTTATATCGTTTATGAATAATTCACTATAATTTTCATAAAATTTTATAGTATATATAAAGGCATGATATATGAATAATTTCAAAAGCTTAATCATTTTTATCTAATAGTTTCAATTCCATTCTTATAATGTTAGTTAAAAAATATAGGGTTTGTTTAATTAAATATTATTTTAATAAATTAATTAATTGTCTCTAAACTAACACAATATTTTTATATTTTACCTTTATTTATTACGGTATTTCACTTAAAAATAAATATAAAATAATTTATGTAGCACCCAACTATCAACAAATGTTTTATATTTCTTAATGAAGGAGTACTTAATAATTTGTCTATCTAATAAATGTGCCCGAAGTATTTGTCATCATCACCGTCTCATAGCTTTTCTACTAGCAAATCCTGTGGAACTCTGCCATACCACGAAGGGTTACCAGCGCACAAAACAAGCTTCATAAAAAACAAGGAAAAATTGCTAATAAAGAGTTAACCAGAAATTTAATTGTTTAGAAGGCTCTGGGGATGTTTTTAAAAAGAGATCATTCATTGTTATTAATTGTTCAAGGTTGGATAACATAAATGCTTTAAATAATAAAAAAAAAGGAAAAAAGTTAAGTAAGATTATTAGCTATCAATATGTCACACAAGGTCTTCCACAATCAATAATTTTGAATTTAATATATCAGATAAGGTTTTTTAGTGTTAATATATCAAAATAAGGTCTTTTGATATCAATATGTATGCACCTAATGTGTTTGTACCTATGGAAGTTGTTTGCATGTAATAAAAAGGTCTTGCATATGATGGAAGGAATTGCATATGATGAAAGAAATTAATCTACATCTATAAGAGAATGTTATATATTATGAGAGAATGTTATATATGATAGAAGAAACATTACATATCATGAAAAAAATCTACATTTATGAGAGAGTGTTGTATATGATGCGAAAGTGTTGCATACGTGAGAGAATGTTGCATATAATGAAGAAAATGCTACATGTTGTGAGAGAAATCTATGTCTATAGGAAAGTGTTACATGCAATGAAAGGAAAGTTGCTTATCATAGAAGAAATTTGTCTAACACACCAAAATTTTTTTTTTTTAAATAATTTAACTCAACCATAGTTGGGTTACAGCCACCCAACACATTTTTATATCAATAAATTTCAATATAAAATATTTTATAATCGGCTTCAATTCACACACTATAACATTTCAGATAAATTTTTACCTCCCACATGCCATTAGGCTAAATCACATTTGTCCATCCTTATACTCCCAACAAGTAAACTAAATCACATTTGTCCATCCTTATACTCCCAACAAGTAAAATAAGCAATTTAATTAATTTTCAACACAAGCCAGTTATTTGACCTTATAATCATGCCATTTTAACCAATCCAAAGTAAACCAAATATTAAAATTACAGTCATCCAAATTGTACCAAAAATAGAAATAGTTTGAAAGGCATGATTACATTTATATATTCATATAATTGACAATAAACAAAAAGCCCTAATATTGGCAATATAATACATTATAAATCATAAATTAAATACCCAAAAGAGACAGTGGATCTATACCACTAAGCCTCTGGGACTCCTCCACGTGTCACTCTTGGCTCTTCTCCTGAAAATTGTTAACCACATAATGAGACTCAAAAGTCCCAGTAACCAAAGCCAATTTATGATAGTGTATACAAACAGTTAAGTGTGTGCTTACTAAGTGAGAATTAAAAATAATATAATTCCAACAAATATAAGAAATATTATAATAAACACAAACAACCATCCTTATATCCCTCCATTAACCTCGAGCCGTAGCCCTCACTCGGTACTAAATTACCCGGCCAAAGGTAGATTAGCCCGAGCCCTTACAAACCACCTATTGAGCTCCAATAGGGGCGTACCACGTGGCACATAATTACAACAATAATAGCAAGTCTCCCAACACCTCCCACAATAAATAAACAAATTCATAATAATATTGTACAATTATACAATATTACAAAATTCATAATTTTCTCAATAATCACCCAATTAACATGAAGTAACACTAATCATAAATTAAAAGCATGGTTACCTTGTGGCTTTTTCAATAAATTATTCCTTAAAATTTCTCTCTCTCCACAATCTTCACCAGTAATACAATCTACAAATAACATATTATTTATAAATATTAGTTTCAATTTTTGAAACTAATAAAATAATTCTAATAATAGAATTAAAAATATAACATAATTCCTAATCTCAATCTTAATACAAATCTATAGTTAATACTATTAAGTAAAATTTTTAACTCCTCTTTTAATTATCAATAAACATTAATAATCTAAAAATCAAATTTTAAACTAATTTCTATTATCAAAATTTTCTTTTTATTTTATAAATTCGTACCTAAAATACCCAAAAATTAAAAATTGAGTCTCTAGCTTAGAATCATAATCCTATAACCATAATAATTCATTTCTCATCCCAAATAATCATCTAAACCTCAATAAATCAACATATATTTTCAGATCTAGTTTAGAATTTGATCCATAAGCCATAAATTCAAAGATCATTAACAAATTTATACTCTATAACATTTATTATACTACTGACAACCTCAAAAACCATATTTATTCGACATAAATTCATCCCTCTTTCAGATCTTAAATTTTCTACCACTACAAACTCAGAAACTAAAGAAGAAGGATGACTAAGAAAAATTTTTAGAACACTTACTTAGTCTTGAAAAGCTTAAAATCACACCCTAAATATCCTATTAAAAACTCTTACCTTAAAACCCAGCACCGGTGAATTTGGCTCACAGATGCTCTCTCTGCCGAAGCTCACGCACGAAAGAAGGAATGAAGAAATGAAGGAACAGGTGAGTTTTTATAAAAATTCAGTGGGTCCCACATTTTTTTTTAATTATTTTCTCTCTCTTCTTCTTCTTTTCTTTTTATTATTATTTTATTATTGTTACTGTTGAGGCGGCGGACGAAGCAAATTCGCTTTCTTCTTCTTCTTCCTTTCTTTTCCTTTCTTTCTTTTTATTATTATAATAATAATAATTTAATAATATTTTATTTTTTTTTATTTTTTTATTTTTTTTCATACCTTTTTTTTTATAATAATAATTTAATAATACTTTTCAAAATTTTTATTAACCCAAATTAACTATTAAAATTTAAATTGGGATGTTACAATTCTCCCCTCCTTTTACAAATTTTGTCCTCAAAATTTAAAATTAATAACTATTAACTACTCACTTAATCAAAAAGACGAGGATAATCACGTCGCATACTGTCCTCGGTCTCCCACGTAACATCACCTGGAGTTGTGCTCTTCCAGATTACTTTAACCAATCTAATGGTCTTATTTCTTAATTGCTTGTCCTTATAATCCATAATCCTTTCTGGTTCAGCTCTGAATGTCAAATTCTCCCTGAGTTCAATTACCTCGGGTTCAATTATATAGGAAGGATCTGGTTGATACTTTTTCAGTTGTGACACATGGAATACGTTGTGTATTCCAGCAATTTGGGGTGGTAATGTTACTTGGTACGCTACTGGTCCAACTCGTTTTAAGATCTCAAAAGGCCCCATAAACCTTGGTGTCAACTTCTTAGCCTTAATAGCTCTTCCAATACCAGTTACTGGAGAGATTTTCAAAAATACATGGTCACCTACTTCAAACTCAAGCGGTCTTCTCCTTTTATCCGCATAACTCTTTTGTCTACTTTGAGCTGTGAGTAATTTTTGCTTAATTAAAGCAATCTTTTGGGTAGTCTCATCAACAATGTCTGGCCCCAAAACAGTTCTCTCACTTAATTCTGTCCAACACAGTGGCGATCTACATTTTCTTCCATACAATGCCTCATAAGGTGCCATCTGAATGCTAGAATGAAAACTATTATTGTAGGCAAATTCAGCTAATGGTAAGTGACTATCCCAATTACCTCTAAGCTCAATGGCACACGCTCTTAACATGTCTTCAAGAGTTTGTATGGTTCGTTCCGTTTGCCCATCGGTCTGGGGGTGGTAAGCGGTGCTAAAACTCAGACGAGTACCCATGGCTTCCTGTAATGACTTCCAAAAGTTTGATGTGAATCTCGGATCACGATCAGATACAATATTTGTCGGCACTCCATGCAATCTCACCACTTCTCTTATGTAGATTTCAGTTAATTTTTCGAGAGAATACTTGATATTAGTAGCAAGAAAATGAGCTGATTTGGTGAGTCGATCTACGATTACCCATATAGTGTCATGACCAGAAGATGTTCTGGGCAATCCTGTAATGAAGTCCATAGAAATGCTGTCCCATTTCCACTCTGGAATATCAAGAGACTGTAGCATCCCGGCTGGTTTCTGATGCTCAATTTTGACTTTCTGGCAAGTCAAACAATGAGTTACATGTTCAGTTACATCTCTCTTCATCCTTGGCCACCACCAACCACGTCTTAAGTCATGATACATCTTAGTTGCTCCTGGGTGAATGGTATATTTACTTTGATGAGCCTCCTCAAGTAAGATATTTTTCAATCGAGTATCATTAGGCACACATACTCTACCTTTATATCTTACGACATCATCATCGGTCACATCAAAATGTTCAGCCTTTCCAGCCCCAATCTCTACCCTAATCTTATTCAAATAATCGTCCTTCTGCTGCGAAATTCTGATTTCTTCCCAAAAATTATTCTCAAATTCAGTAATATGTAGAGCAGCCAAACGATTTTCGACTACTTCTACATTTACTGCATGAAAACTACTCCATAATTCATGTTCTCTGACCATCATGTGAGCAGTATGTACAAGTTTCCTGCTCAGAGCGTCGGCGACTACGTTAGCTTTCCCTGGATGATACTTCAACTCAAAGTCATAATCCTTCAAAAACTCAATCCATCTGCGCTGTCTCATGTTGAGCTCCTTTTGATCAAACAAATATTTTAAACTTTTATGATCACTGAAGACTTCAAAAGAAGAACCATAAAGATAGTGCCTCCAAATCTTCAAGGCAAATACCACAGCAGCAAGCTCCAAGTCATGAGTAGGGTAATTTTCCTCATGAGGTCTCAACTGTCGAGAGGCATAAGCCACTACTCGATCCTCCTGCATCAATACACAACCTAAACCTTTCTTAGAAGCATCAGTATATAAGGTATAAGGAGCAGTTGGAACAGGTAAGGTGAGCACCGGTGTGGTGGTCAACCTCTTTTTCAGTTCCTGGAAGGCAACTTCACACTCGTTCGTCCAAATAAATGGAGCATCTTTCCTGGTCAACTTAGTCAAGGGCATTGCAATTTGTGAAAAACCCTTAATGAAACGACGATAGTAGCCTGCAAGACCCAAGAAACTCCTAATCTCTGTCACACTTCGAGGTTGCTCCCATTTCATCACTGCATCTATCTTACTAGGGTCCACTGCTACCCCTTCTTCTGAAACAACATGGCCTAAGAATTTAACTTCTTTAAGCCAAAAATCACATTTGCTCAACTTGGCATAGAGCTTGTGCTCTCTTAATATCTCCAAAACAATTTTAAGATGTCTAGCATGGTCCACCTCATCTCGAGAATAAATAAGTATGTCATCAATAAAGACTACAACAAATTCATCGAGATAAGGCCTGAAGATTCGATTCATATAATCCATGAAGACAGCTGGGGCATTTGTTAACCCAAACGGCATCACTAGGAACTCATAGTGCCCATATCTAGTTCTAAAAGCAGTTTTAGGGATATCCTCTGCTCTAACCCTCAATTGATGATACCCTGATCTTAGATCAATCTTAGAAAACACCGCTGAATTGACTAATTGGTCTAACAAATCATCAATTCGAGGTAAGGGGTACTTATTCTTGATGGTTACCTTATTCAATTGTCTATAATCAATACACAATCTAAGGCTTCCATCTTTCTTTTTCACAAACAGTACCGGTGACCCCCATGGTGATACACTCGGTCTGATAAACCCCTTCTCTAACAACTCTTCAATTTGTCTCTTCAACTCAGCTAACTCCGATGGAGACATCCTATAGGGTGCCTTAGAAATAGGCCCCGTACCAGGTACGAGTTCAATCGAGAACTCAACCTCTCGTTCTGGAGGCAAACCGATCACTTCAGTAGGAAAGACGTCAGGGAATTCTCTCACTACTGGAATCTGATCTACACCTTCTTCAATCTCTGCCTTGATTGAGAAGAAAATCATAAAAGCTTGACAGCCCTTTCTTATACACTGTTCTACTTGAGCTGCAGACAACAACATAGGACTTTGGGACTCTACAGGGGTTACAGTAAGAACTGAGAGTGACACACTCTTTTTCTGACAATTAAGTACAGCTCCATTTGCAGACAACCAATCCATCCCCACAATAACATCAATCCCAGACAAAGACAAACAAATGAGGTCTATGGTGGTCTTTCGACCCTCATACTCAACCTCTACATTTAGACATGCCTTAGCAGTCCTTACAGTCAAACCAGCAGGAGTAGAAATCTTCACATCAAAAGGTAAGGTACACACAGGCAATTTACATCTTTTCATACATTCATCAGACACAAAAGAGTGTGTAGCACCCGAATCAAACAAAGCACAAACATCATTATCAAGGATTCGGATTATACCTCTGATAGCATTAGGGTTGTTAGCAGCCTCTGGCCCAGAGAGGGCATACACTCGTGCTGGTACTGTAGGTCTCTGATCATTACCCCTATTTTGGTTTTGATAGCAGAATCTAGCAATATGACCAGGCTTCTGACAGATGTAACAAACCCAACAATCACCAGAATGAAACTTCCCACACTTACTGCATGCTTGATTACTAGCAGCACTAGGAGTAGGATTAAAGGTAGCTGGGCTCCTATAGGACCCTTGACTTCCACTCTGATTCCCTCTGTAGCTCTGGCCCTTATGATAGTAGCCCTTCTTCTTCTGATTTCTAAAACCTCCAAAGATTTGACTGCTCCTCTTCTCTACTCCACCAATGGGTCGGTGTGGATAGGGGGCTTCCCATGAGGTTCTTTCCTCCTCTCTCTATCAGCTTCTAATCTAGCCTCTCTCTTCCTCCGAGAAACTATTCGAAGCTTATTGCACATCTCACTGAATGTCTTGATCTCAAAAGGGGCTAACTGTTCCCTTAGATCAGGCCTCGCCTTCTCTAGTAATCGTTCAGCCATCCACTCCGTGTCTTCATGTTTCTGGAGGTAAGTAGAGTATTTAGATAATTCTGAGAATTGTTCAATAAATTCATCCTCATCTAAATCACCCTGGCGGAATGCATGAAACTCAGCCTCCTTTTCTGCTCTCAGTGCAGTAGGAAAATAATTCTCGAACAATATGGCTTTAAAATCTTCCCAAGTAAGAGAGGAATCATCCTTCGGTCCTGATGTTTCCCACCATTTCTTAGCACTCTTCTGTAGTAGGAATATTGCCAGCTGCACCTTTTGATTAGAAGTGCACACAACCATACGAAAAATACTCTCCAATTGATCTATCCATTCTTCAACCACCGCTGGCTTAAGATTTCCATCGAAAGTAGGAGGATTAAACTTACGAAAAGTACTCCAGATCTTTGTGATCGTGGATGTCTGTTGGTCAGAGTGGAGACTCACATTCTTCGGACTAGTCTCATGGTGAGAATAGGAAGGTAAGCCTTCATCAGCAGATTGGCTCGCATTGAATACCTTGGTATGGCTTCCTTCTTGTTGGCCATTTCCCTCTCGGTTGTCATTCTCCTTATATTGTCTTAAAGCGGCCAATTCTTCTTCTTGTCTCTTCATGCGGTCACTAAGATTATATAGTAGATCCATCATTTGCCTCATGGTTGGCTCATCCTGCCTTAGTTGTGACTGTATGGGCTCGCCCTGCCCAATTTGTTGCTGTGTGGGCTCCGGTTGTGGCAGTGAAGGTATGTCATTTCCTATTGGCTCTATAGAATCACCGACAATTTCGCCACCTCTCCTAGTTTTGGACACCATCTCTCCCCTCCTAAAGGATGGAAGTCACATAATTAAATTAACACTAATCTCAAGACAAGAAAAATAATGGAGAAGCATTATGATTTAATAATGTATATTGCCAATAAACTAGGTTAATGTATAACAATTTCATAATTTATAAGAATTGGAACCATGAAGCTCTGATACCAAAATTTGTAACACACCAAAATTTTTTTTTTTTAAATAATTTAACTCAACCATAGTTGGGTTACAGCCACCCAACACATTTTTATATCAATAATTTCAATATAAAATATTTTATAATTGGCTTCAACTCACACACTATAACATTTCAGATAAATTTTTACCTCCCACATGCCATTAGGCTAAATCACATTTGTCCATCCTTATACTCCCAACAAGTAAACTAAATCACATTTGTCCATCCTTATACTCCCAACAAGTAAAATAAGCAATTTAATCAATTTTCAACACAAGCCAGTTATTTGGCCTTATAATCATGCCATTTTAACCAATCCAAAGTAAACCAAATATTAAAATTACAGTCATCCAAATTGTACCAAAAATAGAAATAGTTTGAAAGGCATGATTACATTTATATATTCATATAATTGACAATAAACAAAAAGCCCTAATATTGGCAATATAACACATTATAAATCATAAATTAAATACCCAAAAGAGACAGTGGATCTATACCACTAAGCCTCTGGGACTCCTCCACGTGTCACTCTGGCTCTTCTCCTGAAAATTGTTAACCACATAATGAGACTCAAAAGTCCCAGTAACCAAAGCCAATTTATGATAGTGTATACAAACAGTTAAGTGTGTGCTTACTAAGTGAGAATTAAAAATAATATAATTCCAACAAATATAAGAAATATTATAATAAACACAAACAACCATCCTTATATCCCTCCATTAACCTCGAGCCGTAGCCCTCACTCGGTACTAAATTACCCGGCCAAAGGTAGATTAGCCCGAGCCCTTACAAACCACCTATTGAGCTCCAATAGGGGCGTACCACGTGGCACATAAATACAACAATAATAGCAAGTCTCCCAACACCTCCCACAATAAATAAACAAATTCATAATAATATTGCACAATTATACAATATTACAAAATTCATAATTTTCTCAATAATCACCCAATTAACATGAAGTAACACTAATCACAAATTAAAAGCATGGTTACCTTGTGGCTTTTTCAATAAATTATTCCTTAAAATTTCTCTCTCTCCACAATCTTCACCAGTAATACAATCTACAAATAACATATTATTTATAAATATTAGTTTCAATTTTTGAAACTAATAAAATAATTCTAATAATAGAATTAAAAATATAACATAATTCCTAATCTCAATCTTAATACAAATCTATAGTTAATACTATTAAGTAAAATTTTTAACTCCTCTTTTAATTATCAATAAACATTAATAATCTAAAAATCAAATTTAAACTAATTTCTATTATCAAAATTTTCTTTTTATTTTATAAATTCGTACCTAAAATACCCAAAAATTAAAAATTGAGTCTCTAGCTTAGAATCATAATCCTATAACCATAATAATTCATTTCTCATCCCAAATAATCATCTAAACCTCAATAAATCAACATATATTTTCAGATCTAGTTTAGAATTTGATCCATAAGCCATAAATTCAAAGATCATTAACAAATTTATACTCTATAACATTTATTATACTACTGACAACCTCAAAAACCATATTTATTCAACATAAATTCATCCCTCTTTCAGATCTTAAATTTTCTACCACTACAAACTCAGAAACTAAAGAAGAAGGATGACTAAGAAAAATTTTTAGAACACTTACTTAGTCTTGAAAAGCTTAAAATCACACCCTAAATATCCTATTAAAAACTCTTACCTTAAAACCCAGCACCGGTGAATTTGGCTCACAGATGCTCTCTCTGCCGAAGCTCACGCACGAAAGAAGGAATGAAGAAATGAAGGAACAGGTGAGTTTTTATAAAAATTCAGTGGGTCCCACATTTTTTTTAATTATTTTCTCTCTCTTCTTCTTCTTTTCTTTTTATTATTATTTTATTATTGTTACTGTTGAGGCGGCGGACGAAGCAAATTCGCTTTCTTCTTCTTCTTCCTTTCTTTTCCTTTCTTTCTTTTTATTATTATAATAATAATAATTTAATAATATTTTTTTTATTTTTTTTTTTTTTTCATAATAATAATTTAATAATACTTTTCAAAATTTTTATAACCCAAATTAACTATTAAAATTTAATTGGGATGTTACAATTCTCCCCTCCTTTTACAAATTTTGTCCTCAAATTTAAAATTAATAACTATTAACTACTCACTTAATCAAAAAGACGAGGATAATCACGTCGCATACTGTCCTCGGTCTCCCACGTAACATCACCTGGAGTTGTGCTCTTCCAGATTACTTTAACCAATCTAATGGTCTTATTTCTTAATTGCTTGTCCTTATAATCCATAATCCTTTCTGGTTCAGCTCTGAATGTCAAATTCTCCCTGAGTTCAATTACCTCGGGTTCAATTATATAGGAAGGATCTGGTTGATACTTTTTCAGTTGTGACACATGGAATACGTTGTGTATTCCAGCAATTTGGGGTGGTAATGTTACTTGGTACGCTACTGGTCCAACTCGTTTTAAGATCTCAAAAG